CAGGAGTACTGGAGTGGGTTGCCATTGCCTTCTCCGATGTTACTCTGTAGTAGTATTTAATATAGAAGTTAACCCAGGGTAATCACAGCAAGTCTTTCAAGAAGGATGACTGAGGATCTACAGCTGTGAATAACTTTCTAAATGAAACGTAAAGCACATTGTTCTTACCAGAGCTATTTCCATTTCTAGTTTGAGAAGTTACATATCTGAAAGCCTGACCTTTCTTAGAAAAATCTCCAAGGGCCTAAACACTTCTTTAGACTATAGGATTTTGGGGAGACTGCCAAATCTAGCCTAAGAAGAGTCCTGGAGATTTGTGAGTTCACCTTAAATTGCAATCATTGTGGCACTAATGGAATGGTGGGAATTCCCAAACTGAAGAGTATATTAGTCCCTATTCATCTTAGTTCTACAGGAAACATTTAAGACATTTTCATCTAGCCTGAAATTAGTTCAGTTTCTGCTCATGTGCCTGATGATACTGAAGCTTTGGTTCTATAGTTGTGTCTTCGACAAGGTGGCCTGCAGTAAGTTTTTCCCCCTGAGTTCTGATCATTTAAAATTTACTTCTGAACCTATTGAACCTTTGGATTACCTGTTAAACTTCTGTCCCAAATAAGACCTTCTCTGACTTCATGGGTGAATTCCCTAGCATGCATTTTAATATCAGTGTTCCCTCTGTTGTTTCAATGCTGGTGGTTCTCCCAGAAGCACAGAAGAATGGGATTCAGTGAGATCTGAGGCCAGCCCTCGTCTTGGATCACTCAGCATGGAAATCCCTGGGACTTGGCTTTCCGGAGAGAGTGGGTATTCGTAGATGACCCACTCATGCCTGGCTTTAACCAAAAACCTTGATCCCCAAACCCAAGTTTGTGGTAGAAAAGTATCAAATGAATATCACCCTGCTGCACATGGTTTATTTCTTTTCCCTTTAAGAGAAAACATTCCTGTTTAAAGTACTTCTGTTTTATCATTTTTAAATGCAAAAATTTCAAAGTTGAAGTTCGTCCTTTCTCTAGCTGCCATTTCTTTTCATCTACTCCCAACAGATTATGCTATTCCCAGATCTGCCTTTCTGCTTGCTTTCTTTTTTGAAAGATTTTTTTTTTTTAATGTGGACCATTTTTATAGTCTTTATTGAATTTGTTACAGTATTGCTTCTGTTGTTTATGTTTTGGGTTTTTGGCTGTGAGGCCTGTGGGATCTTAGCTCTGTGACCAGAGAGAGATCCAACCCACACCCCCTGCATTGTCCTCTGACTTGGAAAAGGACATTTTGAAGTTGGTAGGATGCGGGTTACTGTCTGGTGCAGTGGTATGGCCAAGTGGGACTACTTCCACCCAGAGTGATCCTGTGAACATTCTTTACTGCAAAAATGTAGCCTTCACAAAAATCCCAATCGATCTTGTTATATGTGCTCAGTTCAGTGGAACTCCCGTGTGCTTTCAAAATCACACCTGCTGCTTGATTTGGTTGAAACAGCTCTATCCCACTTTAGATAAACTTTGGTTTGTACGTGTATAATTAATATCTTACTAAACCAGTCTTTCTGGTAGAAAATATTTTTAGTAGAGTTTATTTTTTAAGAAAACTTTATTTTAGATTCACAGCAAAAAAAGAAGAGATTTCCCATATACCTCTGCCCACAATGTATAGCTTCCCTCACTATCAACTTCCCCCAACAGAGTGGTACATTTGGAATAATCAGTGAGCCTTTTGTTGACGATTATCACCCAAAGTCCATAGTTTACATTAGGGTTCACTCTTGGAGTTATATTTTCTATGAGTTTGAACAAAGGTAGTAAGATACCTACCTGTATAGTGTCATACTGAATAGATTTTCTACCCTAAAAATCCTCTGTACTCTGCCAATTCATCCCTCCCTCTCACCTTCCCCTGGCAACCACTGATTTTTTTTTTTTTTTTAATTGTCACTATAGATTTGCCTTTTCCAGGATGCCATATAGTTGGAACCATATAGTATGTAGTGTTTCCAGATTGGCTACTTTCATTTAGGAACATGTATTTAGGTATTCTTCCATGTCTTCTAAAGGTTTGGTAGCTCATTTCTTTTTTGTTGTTCAGTCGCTCAGTTATGTTCCACTGTTTGCGACTCCATGGACTGTAGCACACCAAGCTTCCCTGTCCTTCACCATCTCTTGGAGCTTGCTCAAACTCTTGTCCATTGAGTTGGTGATGCCATCCAACCAGTGATGGTGAGGCCATTGTCCTCTGTCGTCCCCTTCTCTGGCCTTCAGTCTTTCCCAGCATCAGTGTCTTTTCTAATGAGTCAGCTCTTTGCATCAGGTAGCCAAAGTATTGGAACTTTAGTATCAGTCCTTCCAATGAGTATTCATTTCTTTTTAGCAGTGAAAAATATTCTATCATCTGGATATGTACAGTTATCCCTTTACCTACTGAAGGTGCTTGGTTGCTTCTAAGGTTATGAATAAAACTGCTGTAAATGTCTCATTACACAGGTTACTTCACCCCTAACTACTGTTTGGTTTATTTGCATGTCATTTTCTTAGGAAAAGCACGTCATCTGCAGAGAAAGGTTTTATTTCCCCCTTGGTTTTTGATTTGGTGTCTGCTGTTAACTTGGGGAGATTCTTGGTTGTGATAGCGTCAGGTGTCTCTCTGTCCTCTCTCTTTCCCCTGGCCTTCCTGCTATAGAGGCATTGGCTGCATCTCTCCACCAGTTCTCCTGCCTGCTCTGCTCAGTGGCTCTGTTGTGTCCACCTCTTTGCGACCCCGTGGACTGTGTCACTCAGGCGTGTCCGACTGTTTGTGATCCCATGGGCAGGAGTCTGCCAGGCTCCTCTGCCCGTGGGGATTCTGCAGGCAAGCATACTGGAGTGGGTTGCTATGCCCTCCTCCAGGCGATCTTCCCAACCCGGGGATCAAACCCAGGTCTCCCGCATTGCAGGCAGATTCTTTACCAGCTGAGCCACCAGGGAAGCCCAGTGGTTCTTATATATATTTTTTTCTTTTTCAGTCTTTTTCCCTCTGTCTTCTAGTTTTGGAAGTTTCTGTTGACATACTCTCAGGCTCAGAGATTTTTTTCTTTTGTGGTGTGCATTCTGTGGTGAACCATCAAAGGCATTATTCACTTGTGGTGTTTTGATGTCTGATTTCTTTTTGGTTCTCTTTTAGGATTTCCATCTCTCTTACATTACACATCTGTTCTTGTGTGTTGCCTGCTTTTTCCATTAAGGCTTTCGGCATAGTAATCTTGGTAGTTTTAAATTCCTGGTCTGATAATTCCAACATCCGTACCAGCTCTGCCATTCTTTGCTTGCTCTTCAAACTGTACTTCTGCCCTTGGTCTTCTTGTAGTTTTCCTGTGGAAAGTGGCCATGCTGTCCCAGGTAAAGGCACTGCATTGACAGAAGGCTGGTGCTCTGTGTGACTGGCCGCCGCCTTGGGGAGCTCGTGTCCCTGGAGCCGTGTCACTGGAGCCGTGTCGGGGCTTCCCAGGCCTTCCACTCTCCTGGGAGGGGGGCTGCTTCCTGTCTCTCAGGTTGTAGTTTCTCATGAAGTAGTTTCTCTGAAGGTCACGCATCAGTAAGAATTAAATGCTCTGACATATTTCAAAACACTCGCTTTTTTCTCCCCCCCTACTGGAAACATGATGGGATTTTTCTTCAGTGGTCACTGAGAACCTGGTAAAGCTTCTGAAGGACCTCACAAGAGGGTCAGGTCCTCCCATGACTGAGTTCCCCTGGCATTTAAGTCTGATTAAAACTTGTCCACACTGAGCTCCCAGCACCTGGTCAGTTCCAGTCCGGGTCCCCAACCAGCACTGATCCCTCTGAGGTTTCCATGCATGGGTTTCTGCTCCACTCAGCTGACTTCACAGTTCATTCAACCTTTTTACTTGTTATAATTGAGTGGCGACTTCTAAGGTTCTTCCTTGTATGTTGGGCCAGGAAACAGAAATTAGATCATTTCTTTTTAATCAGTAATTTCTCTTATATACATACTGTCCAGGGATTGCTGAAAATCCAGAGCCAAGAGTGTTTGTGCTGTCAGACCTTTTAGTGGGTGGACTAATGGCTCAAGATTACCTTACAGGCTCAGAGCAAAGCAGAGCCAAACTTTTCAGTATCCAGATGGTTATAAAGGAAATAAAGATGGAACCTCTCTAGTAGTCCAGTGGTTAAAGAATCCGCCTTGGAATGCAAGGGTCACCGTTCTGGGAAGATCCCACATGGCACAGAGCAACTAAGCCCATGGGCTACAACTACTGTGGCCCACACTCTATAGAGTCCACGAACTGCAACTGCGGAGGCTGTGTGCTGCAGTTGCTGAAGCCCTCTCACCTTAGAGCCTATCCTCAGCAAGAGTAGCCCCCACTTGCTGCAGCTAGAGAGAGCCCATGCAAGCAACAAAGACCTACCGCAGACAAAAGATAAATGAATAAACCTAAAAAGAAAAGGATATAAGGATGATTGATAGGTTATGTAACTTTGTGAAAATCAAAGGTGCTGGTGGGTGATTAGCTGTCCTGCAGACTACCACAATTTAAACATAAGAGAAGTTCTTAGAAATTTGATAATATTAAAAGTAAATAGTTCCTTAGTCAACAAGGACCTGCTGTGTAACACAGGGAACTCAATATTCTGTAACAACCTATATGGAAAAAGAATCTGAAAAGAATGGATATGTGTATATGTGTAAATGAATCACTTTGTTGTATACCTGAAACTAACCCAAGATTGTAAATCAGCTGTGTCCCAAGATAAAATAAAAATTAAATTTAAAAAAGTAAGTTGTTCTTTTTATTTTTTTGGCTATATTACATGGCATGTGGAATCTTAGCTTCCTGACTGGGAATCAAACCCATGCCCCCTGGAGTGGAAGCACAGAGTCTTAACCATTGAACTGCCAGGGAAGTTCCGTAAATGGTTCTTTAGTAACTCTTTGGTAAATGGATATATGTAATCCCAAAGCTAATTTTGTTATCTAAAAGGAATGAAAATTGTTTTCAATTATAGGATAAGCATAAAGACCATATTGACCATCAGAAGGATAAGGTCGCCTTGACTCTGGCACGGCTAGCCCGCCATGTTGAAGTGGAGAAACAGCAGAAAGAAGAAAAGAATAGGGCATTCAGGGTATGTTTCTGCTTTCTTTCTTTCTTTCTTTTTTTTTTTTTTTGTTGCTGCTTTCATTGATGTTTTACCAGATTATAGAATTGTTTGTAAGAAAGTTAAATAGACACTTATATAATCAAAAGATACATAATTGGATACAAGTTCAGCATGAAATCTGCATAGCTTAACGGATTTAGTAGTAGTTCATGATGGCTTTTTATATCTGTTTTTGTTTGTTGGATTTTGATCATATATGTATACAGACCAAGAAAAAGAAAAAATAGACTTGAGTGGGCTTTATTTTGGGAATTTAAACTCATGGGATTATATAAGTTTCTAGTTACTTTATCACAGTTTATCAGGGTTTCTATAGATACAAGCTGTTGAAAGGTTATTTTCTATGCAGTAGAGCCAGACCACTTTCACTTCAACCTCTTCCTTCGATTATTGAATTAGGGCAGTGGAAGATGAAGCCTGATTTAGAATCTTGCATGATATAAATGTTTTCAAACTTTGACTTGATTTTTAGAAGGTTACCAAATGAAATTACCTTAGAGAATTCTCCCAATACTGCCAAATGTCTATTAGGAGTAAAATGTTGGCCAGTTGAGTGAAAAAACTTCCTATTGGGAGTTTAAGAATGGAAATAAACAAATCACAGCATAATTTTACCATGTATATTTTTGCTTCCTTTTTCTGTTGGTTATTATAAAGGAATTTATATATTTCTGTTGTCTTTGTTTTAGTATCTCCTAATCTAATGCAAAATACCTTAATCTTTAAATTTAGAAGTACCTTTATTTGGGGACTTTTATTAATACTTTATAATGTAATACCAATTAAACTAGAGCATAGTATTCTAATTGTATGTTTAAAATGCTTCATACATTAGTGATTTTTTTTTTTTTAAAGATTATTTCTTTCCTGGCAGAGACACTATTCATTTTTAAGGAAGCTTCTTTCCCCAAATTACATGAAGTGTGTTTGTGTGGGGAAAGTTTCAGAGAGGAGTGGTTATCAAGCTATCCTCTTTTTCTACCCATTTCCTCAGTGATGCTCACTGCTTTTGTGATGAGTTCAGAGTAGTTGCTGTGACAACAAGGGTTTTTCTCAAGCGTAGTTTCAGCTTTTACCTATGCACACATTCATTCATTGTATTAAAGATTTTACCTTGTTGTTGGAGAAAGTTTTTTATAACTTTGAAATTCTTGTTTACCCAATTTTAAAGAATACGTTTTTCTAGACTTCTTTCTAAGAGAGAAATTGACTCACACAGGTTCTTTAGCTCCTTGCTTGCTATTCATTCATGATTTTTTGAAAATTTGGTTCTCCTTATATATAACTTATTAAAAAACTATTGATAGAGGACAGAAAACAAAAACAAAACAAACTACCTAGAAAGAAAGATAATAAAACTAATTATTGAAGAATTGTAGTAGGTGTTAACTGTGACTACAAAATATAGTAGAAAATATCTTCCAGCTCTTCTAGGCATTTTGATTTTTGGTATCTCACTATTAAAGTGTATTGTCCTTCTTTTATGATGGAAATGTTTTTAAAAAAATAAAATCTATTAAAATCTTCACTGAATAAATCACTTTCAGAGATAATGTGTTGTGCTTGACTAGTTTACTAGGTTTGCTTATTGATATTCCAGGAGTTAAAATGACTCACAAGAGGGGATATACCCCTAACATGTGAAGGAATAGCTATATAATGCACATTAGCATCTTTGGAGAATTAGTACTCTATGGCTATACTTAGAACAGTGTTGTGTAGCTGATTTCCTGTCAGATTACAATCTTGAATCTCCCTGTCCCCCTCTTACATGTGCTGACAGAAGATCCTGTTACATTGCTAACAAGGTCATTCAGTATCCTGGTCTGTTGCTTGCAAATCTAGCGTTTGTGGCTTTGTGATTTCTTTTTAAGGATATAAAAACCTTTTTAAGATACAGTGTGGTGTGCTGGTTAAGTGCATGAGTTCTAGAATCAGGTTAGAGAATGAGAGTTTAAATCCTGGCATTGTTGTTTGTCCTTGTGCAGTTTATTTGAACTTCATGTGCCTCAGTTTTCCCATTATAAAATGGCAACAATACTGGTACCCATCTTACAGAGTTATTGAGAGAATTAGATCTAAGATGCTTTTAGAATAGTGTCTGGCACATGGTAAGTGGTTAATAAGTGTTAATTGTCATTAGGTTGGTGCAAAAGTAATTGCGGTTTTGCATTGTTGAACTTTGCCATTTGATATTGAAATACATTCTTAAATAAGTGTGGTTATGTTATGCATCATTTTAATGCACATTTTTTGCTGTTTTTTTCCTGATATCTTATTGTTTATTTTATATGTATTTTAGACTGTGGAAAATGATATTAGACTAAAAGCAAATTCAAGTGATTTTCTTACTTGAGTTCGAAATGGGTCATTAAGCAGCAGAGACAACTCGCAGCACCAACAATGCGTTTGGCCCAGGAACTGCTAACGAGCGTATAGTGCAGTGCTGATTCAAGAGGTTTTGCAAAGAAGAACAGAGCCTTGGACATGAGGAGCGTAGTGGCCAGCCATCGGAAGTTGACAGTGACCAACTGAGAGCCCTTAGTGAAGCTGGTCATCTTACAACTACACAAGAAGTTGCTGAAGAGTTCAGCATTGACAGTTTTATGGACATTCAGTATTTGAAGCAAATTGGAGAGGTGAAACAGCTCAATAAAGTGGGTGCCTCGTGAGCTGACCAAATAAAAAAGACTGTTGTTTTGAAGTGTTTTCTCTTATTCTATGCAGTAACAACAAATCACTTCTTGATTGGATTATGACGTGCGATGAAAAGTGGATTTTTATGACAGCCAGTGACGACCAGCTCAGTGGTTGGGCTGAGAAGCAGCTCCAAAGCACTTCCCAATGTCAGACTTGCACCAAAAAAGGTCATGATCACTATTTGGTGGTCTGCTGCCAGTCTGATCCACTACAACTTTCTGAATCCCGGTGAAACCTTCCATCTGAGAAGTATGCTTAGCAAATCGATGAGATGCGCCAAAAAGTGCAGTGCCTAGCGCCAGCATTGGTCAACAAGAAGGGGGCCAGTTCTTCTCCATGACAACATTGGACTACACATTGCACAACCAACACTTCAGAAGTTGAACTAATTGGGCTACAAAGTTTTGCCTCATCCACCGTATTCACCTAATGTCTCACCAACCAACTACCACTTTCTTCAAGCATCTCAACAACTTTTTGCTGTGAAAACACTTCCACAACCAGCAGGAGGCAGAAAATGTTTCCCAAGAGTTCGTTGAGTCCCAAAGCATGGATTTTTATGCTACAGGAATAAACAAACATTTCTTGTTGGCAAAAATGTGTTGATTGTAATGGTTCCTATTTTGATTAATAAAGATGTGTTGAGCCTAGTTATAATGATTTAAAATTCATGGTCTAAAACCACAATTACTTTTGTACCAACCTATAGATACAGCATGATGAGAGTATGCAAATAGATTTATCAGTAACATAACTAGAAAGATTTAGAGACTGTAAAAGTCTAAAGCATGTAGTTTAGTAGTTGGCACTGGCCCACCGCCTGTTTTTGTAAATAAAGTTTTATTGGAACATAGCCATGCCCATTTGTTTACATATTATCTATGGCTGCTTTTGTGCTGCAGCAGCAAAGTTGAGTAGTTGCAAAAGAGACTATATGGGCTGCAGAGCCTTAAATATTTATCCTGTGGCCCTTTATGGAAAAAATTTGCCCACCTTTGATCTAGATGCAGTAGATGTTTTGTATTGGTACATATTAAGTACTACTGAGTATCTGCTCTTGCACTGTTCATTGAACAAATGTTTAATAGGCTTCTATATACTTCAGTCTACATGTAGAAAATTTGAAAAAAAAATGTTTTAAAATGTGAAGATGAAAATAATCATGCATATTTCCATTCCAGAGATAACTATTGACGTTTGTCATATTTATCTTCTGCCTTTTTCCCTCTCTGCAGGCAGAGTTACATATAGCTTGAAATAATCTTTGCTTATATTTGACCCTATTCATTTACTACCATTTGGTAACATACTTGATATCAATAGTATACTCCTATTTCATTGAAAAGTTCGGTTAGTGTTTCTAATGACTTTGATGAGATGTACACACCATAATTTACTTAAACAGTACCCTATTTGGAGATTAACTTGTTGAAAACTTTGTGCAAATATAGATGACATTGGGATCAACATCTTATTTAGAGCAGGAAACTTTGGTTTGACTTAGCTCCCTAGGATAGAGTTCTAGACTTGGAGTTACAGGGATAAATGATAATCAGTATTTTCTCATCACTGTTGTGACAAAATCATTTTCTTAAGGAAACAAAATTAGTAATCACACTTTGATTTTTTTCTTAATATCTTTAGGAAAAAATCGATTTTCAGCATGCTCATGGGTTACAAGAATTGGAGTTTATTCGAGGACATTCTGATACAGAAGCAGCAAGACTGTGTGTGGACCAGTGGTTAAAAATGCCAGGTATTCTTTAGAGATCAGAGGCTTCCCGGAAGCCTTAAGGCATTTTGTCTGTTTATTCAGTTGGTAGTAAGTATATAAAGTATTGAAATTTACTTAACGGGAGGCCTGCTTTACTTACCAGTTGTCTTCCTATTTTGGCAAAAGTGTATTTTGAATAAAAGTAATCCTTGAACTGATTAGATATTGCTCATTTATTCATTCATGTGTGTCCTACATGAAATAGTACATGTGACTATGTGAGGATGTGTAACAGGTTATTTGAGGTCAGGATTCTGTAAGGAAATGGAATTTAAGCTGAGATCGAAAAAATTTGCATTTACTTATTTATTTGTCCATGCAACCTATGTAGATATTTTGTTGGAAGTGTCGACATGGGAGGCTCATCAAAAGCAGTGGGTAACTTCTTCATTACTAACTCTACAGACTTGAGATTCCTAGAGAGTCACTGTGGAGCGTTTTCCTTCCACCAGATAATTTGGTAAAGTTTTTGAGTCAGTAGGACAGTCCCTTGAGGCTTCCCTGGTGGCTCAGATAGTAAAGAATCTGCCTGCAATGTGGGAGATCTGGATTCGATCCCTGGGTTGGGAAGATCCCTTGGAGAAGGGAATGGCAACCCACTCCAGTATTCTTCCCTGGAGAATCCCATGGACAGTGGAGCCTGGCGGGCTAAAGTCCATGGGGTTGCAAAGAGTCAGACACAACTGAGCAACTAACGCTTTCAGGACAGTCCCATCCTGGCAGCTTTTCTAGCCTGTCTTGTACAAGACCCATTGAGCCCTTAGAGGCTTGGGTTATTCACAGAAACCTTAGCTGTGGATTTAATCCAGCCAAAAGTTTAGTTGCAAAAAGTCTTAGAAGTAATCTATGTATGCAGTGCTCAACTTTGAACCTGGATATCTTGTTCTATAGTTTTCAGAGGGCTTTTCTTTGAACAGAATAAAATTGCCACTTTTAAAATAATTCCAATAATTTGTAGGTATTTTGACACTTGGCTACTTCCTGACACTGCATTTCCTTCTTATCTCCCAGTATGTTTGTCCCTGGCAAACTTCTCCCTTGCCCTATCCCCCCTCTTAAATACCTTTTCCTTTTTTTCTTACTTGCCCGTGGGGTTAGCCACAGGCAAGTAAGTACTATATTCAGTACTAGAGGGTGCTAGGTTTTTTAGTCTGCCTAAGTTTGATTGCCCAGCTGTCTTTTATACCACAGTGTTTTATTCATTTTTTGCCTATAGTTTTTACCCTGTTGTGTTGGATTGGTATGTTTACCTTTCTGTGTCTTTCACTAGATTTATATGCTTTATGGGGACAGAGGCTAAGCCTAATTAATCCTTTTTAGTGTCAGTGCCTAAGAAGAAGGCTCTGCACGGAGATGTCCAGTAAGTGTCGGTTGAATATTATATCAGAGTGGGCGATGAGTATTTGCATATGAACACAGGAAGAAAGCCTAGAACCATGTTCCAAATGTGACTGTCATTCAACTAAACAGAAGAATTGTTTGGTATTCCACACCTACTTTAGAAAAGTTTACTTGAAAATTACCATCCTTAGCTATATCAGAATCACCTGGGAATCTTAAATACATGCCTGGGCCTCACCTCTAGAGGGCATCTGTAGATTTGGGAAGATTTTGATACAAAAATGGTCTAGAACTACAAGGCTTACAAGATCTCTTGTAAAATTGTTTCTCTCATATGAATCTTAACACTTTCAAGTCTTGTCTAGAATGATTGTTGGGCCAGTACTACATCCCTTTAGGCCTAATCTCTGGCTTTCAGGTTGTCAGAATATTTTAATTCACTGTAAATTGAATTCACAAGCATCTGAATATATATTTTTCTGAGTGGGTCAGGTGGGAACAAATGAGTCAGTTAACTGTCTTTATATTTCTTATCAAGATGTGGTACTGTAGATCACTTCAGGTCGCATCTGGTTCGTTGGTGGCTGATAAGCTTGTGCTGTGAGTTGAGGTCTTTAGTTACATTCCTTTTATGTGGCTGTTTCATCTTCTTGCTTGGTCCCTGCCACACTGCAGCACTGAAGTCCGGGGGCTCTTGCTGGCATAGCGGCTTTATCACTGGGCTGCACTTGCTGTGGTGCCGTTCCTTTGAGGAGTGGAGAGCTGGGGAAAACAGATGTCTTTGTGCTGTCAGTTATAAAAAGTGAGATTCTACTTCTCAATAACATTAAGGGACTCCATGCAGTCTTATTCCAAAGTATCCAGCCATTATAATTCAGTCCTTTGATTAGAAGTAATTTAAGTACATTATTTATAATTACTCAAGCTTTGGAAATCCAACTTTTTTATAGACTTTTATAGTTAGACCAGTTTCTGCACATTTGAATACTTGGTAATTTAAAAACAACACACTATACTGTTTAAGGAAAAGAGCTGTTTAAATCTCTGTATTTTGCCTTTCCTTGGATAAAGCTTATTTTCTTGTAATTGATTGCTTTCTCCACTTTAATTTTTATCCAGAACCTCTGTGGCTAAATAAATGTCTTAATAGGCAACACTTGGAATGTTGATGGACAGTAAAAATTACTCTAATTCTGACTGTGTTAAAAAATTAAAGCAAAAAAAGGTGTATTGTCATTAATGCCTCTTTGAATATGATTAATGCTGTGTTAGTCTTTATTGATAGAACACATTTATAAGCATTTTGACAGCATTTAATAGAGGCATTTCTTCCATAAACAGAAGAGCACTGAAACCTTTAACATAGATAACCATTTGGGGATCTTAACTCGATAATGTTAAAGGTATAACATCTTATTTTAGTTAAATGCTTAGGGACTTGGTAGAAATTGCCATAAAGATAAATATACAATTTTTTGTCATATGAAATATTCAAAGTATTTGAGTGAAACAGGTTACAAGAAATAATCAAGCTATATATCAGAATCCTTCTAGCACATTTTAAATTCTTTGTTTATAGAACATAACTCTAAATTTTTCACTGTACAACATGCATTGGGAGTTTGTCTGGAAACAGAATTTGGCTGAGGCTGGAAAGTTGTTTGACTGTAAAACCAAGATTATGACGGAACGGGATAATCTTCACCAGACAGAGGAACTGGTGAAGGCATTCTCCTTGTCCTCCCCATTCCCTTCCCGTCTCAGTTACAGCCTGTATAGCTGAACCTTATAATGTGTGTAGGATACTTAAAAGAGAAAATAAGAATTAGAAGAAAAAATCTTTGCCAGCTTATCTAAATGAACAGAAGGGAGGCAAGCAGAGCAACTGGTTTTCAAATATATTCCATCTTTGACATTTCTTGGCTGTTGAACTTAAGGGAACAGTTCTTTTCCTCAAGATAATATTACTTGGAGACCTTAATGGCTTTCCTTGTCCCAAATAGCTATTTATTTGTAGGTTGTTACATTTTTTATAAGAAAGTTTGTAAGCATTTAGTTACAAGTAGGATCACCCATTTGGTGCTGCCCAGTGTTTTTTACTGTTTTTTCATAATTTTGATTACCAGTCCAAAGGACGGTTACCTGAAATAGGAACTTAAGAATTTATATTCTGATGATGCAGGACTCAAAACAGGCACGATTAATTCTGGAACAAAAGGTTCATTCCGAAGAGGAAGCCAAATTCGAGCATCTGGGAAACCAATTTCATGTCCCATAATGCACTGTAACAAGGAATTTGATAATGGGCACCTTCTCTTAGGACATTTGAAAAGGTAAGTGTGATGTTCAGAACAGTGGGTGCTGAAGATGAACTGAGAGCGTGAGACATCTCTGCCATTGTGATTGTAGCTTTATGTTCCAAACTCTTAACGATATAATTTTTTCTAATTTACATTTCTTAGGCTTCCTAGGAGACTTGAAGTCAGATTATTTTAGTGATACTCAGTCTTAATATGTTTCATAAAATTCTGACCAGACTTTTTGCATTGATGTACATTTGTATCAGTTTTAGAGGAATCCAGTCCATTAGCAAATTTTAAGAGACACAAAACATTTACAGATATGTGGGCTAGGCCAAAGAAAGATAACATGTCATTGCAAAGTAAATGCTAAAGGCAAACGAAGTGTAGCAAAGTTAATAATAAATGTTCTATTTATAAGATCCATAATTTACTGAATTTTGAATAGTAGAGCTTGAGAAAGTAAATATCAAGAGAAGGCAATATTAAAGGAGTTAAATAGTCCTTATCTTCTTAGTCTCCCCTTCTTATAGTTTGAAGAGGGGAGCTGAAGTTTGCGGCTCTCGACCTTCTCAAGATGTCTCATCCTGCTTATGCCTGACCCTGCTATGAGAGCCTTCTGGAGAGGGGTTCAGTATTCTACAGATAACTGTATTTTAACTGTTTTTAATTTTTAAAAAGTCTTTGAGGCAGTTTTCAATGACACAAATTTGTTAAATGATTAAAATGACATTAAAAGGATTAAAAGCCATTTTTAGGAAATAGGTATATACCAGAACTTGACATGACATTATTATTCCAGTGATTCATTTACAATTATTTGTGAGTTTTAGTTTGTTCCTTGCCAGAAGAAATGTATGATGACTGTACAGTTTTCAGACTGGAAGTTTACCAATTTGGCAAAATATGCTTAAATCCATTTTATTGTATCTTGAGTACTTTTTTGAAATTTTAAGCTGTTGGTCACTGTTTCAAGAGATTGCATGGCATATGAGAGCCACTTGATATTTCTTGAATATAAAGAACCTTATTTAATACTTCAGTAGAAAAAGTGTAAACACTTGAACGTGTGTGTCTAACTTAACAAATGAAGCAACATAGTACTGCCCCTAGAATATGTCAGATTTTCTAATGTTAACCTCTGTTTTGCCAAGTAGGTTCGACCACTCTCCATGTGATCCAACAATTACACTGCATGGACCTTTCATCAGTTCCTTTGCTTGTGTAGTATGTTATAAAAATTTTGTTACTCAGCAGCAATATAGGGATCACCTTTTTGCTAAGGTAAGAACATGTCCTAAGTTAAGAATAGGTATTGTTTTTCTAGAGATCCGTGGGGTGTTTTCTTGCTGTTCTTAAGCTTGCAGTCCATAGTGATGCACATAAGGCTCAAAATTGTGATTGTCTATGATAAATAAAATGATTTGGAACATTATTGTGGGCAGGTAACCCTGATAGGTGAAAGCTAACAGTCCTAAAGATTATCACTGAAGCCCTTCTTTTTATTGAATTGCTCTATGAAATTGACTTACTTTGTTCAAGATGTTCTGTGAGTTAATCCCATGATGATCAGAATGGTTTTCTTAATGACACTGCTGTTCAGCGCTGGTTGACATGTCAGAGCCATGTAGTCAGTGATGATACCTTTATTAATGCTGGTGTTAACAGATCTGGTATTTAAAAGGTTGTGTTACGTGACTCACATTGTGTGAAATCTCAGGGGACATGAGACTGATTCATAATATTAGCAAATTCAGTGTAATAAAGAGCCCTGTAATAAGTGTTTACCAGACTTGATATTATTAGTAGGTATCTCACTTATTAATGTTACAAAATGTTAATTATATGATATTTTCACTCTGGAAAAGTTTTAAAATACTAACAAGAAAGAAAATAAGAAATCCCTTTTTTAAAAAAAGATTTATTATATTTGATTTACAGTGTTGTGTTAATGTCTACTGTGCAGCAGAGTGTTTAGTTATACATGTATAGACATTTCTTTGCATATTCTTTTCCATTATGGTTTATCACAGGATATTGAATGTAGTTCCCTGTGCTATACAGTAGGACCTTGTTTATTCTAAATATTATAGTTTGCATTTACTAACCTTAAACTCCCAATCCATCCCATCTCCACCGCCTTTCCCCCATGGCAACCACTGGGAAATCACTCTAATGTCACTTATAGAGATAAGCATTATTAACAGTTACATATATATATTTCTGCTATTTCTCCATATGTAAATATTTTTATATAGGATAAGGTATCTAACTTATTTCATAATTTAAAAAAGCAGTGTGTTGTAAACATAAATGTTTAAATGTTGAATCAGAATGTACATTTAAAATAAGTGCATGGCATTCTGTATGGCTATATGAATTTTAATTTTTAAATAATTATCGATGTATGTGTTTGTGTTGGCGGTGCCGGTCCTTGCCGGTCCTTGTTGCTGCGCGGGCTCTCTGCAGCTCTGGCACGTGGGGGCTGCGCGTCTTTGCAGTGTGCGGGCTTCTCCCTGCGGGGCTGCACTTGCACAGCATGGGCTCTTGGGTGCAGGGACTCCAGGAGTTGCAGCGTGTGGGCTGAGTGATTGCGGTCCCCGGGTTCTAGAGCACAGGCTCTGTCGTTGGAGCTGGCCACAGGGTGACTTGCTTGGCGGCATGTGGGATCTTCTTGGATCAGGGATCAAACCTGTGTCTCCTGCATTGGCAGTGTGGATTCTTTCCCACTGAGCCACCAGAGAAGCCTCTCTTTTAATTTCTTTTTACATGTATTAGTTTAAATTTTTCTGTCATTATAAACAATAACACTGTAAATGCCCTTGTAGCTAAATACCTATGAGAAGATTATGCTTCGGGTATTTGCTGAGTAAATATTAGGTTTTGAAATAGTAAAATGCTAATGTCCAAAGACTAGTAAGGTTTTTCTTTAAACCATATTTTCAGAATTTGCTAGTCTGTGACCTATCCTTGAAAAGTCGTGTCGGTAGTACCCTGGATTCTGTGTAGGTTCACACAGAAAAGTGTGGACTTGTGCTGTCAGGTGTCTCTGGCTAAGGTCTGTGTTCCCGGAATAGATGTGCCTCTTGGCGGTGAGTTTGCTGAATACTCCATCACTAGTCTTGGGGAGGCTGTGTCTTGTTGAGCCCTGATGAGTGGCTGTAGTACGAGAGGAACCCATGTGCTCTAGAATGAAGCAGCCGTCGTGGTAACCGTCAGAGGAGGCAGAGGGTCAGAGGACGGGAGAGGAGAGGCTGGGGAAGTGGGCAGAGCGCTGCAGGGGAGAAGTCGTTTTCCAGGCTTGGATTTGGATAGTTGGAAAGGACAAGCTGTGGAAAGGAGCCTGCAGAGAATAGCAAGTAGGGAACAGGGACGGTGCCGAGAGCAGGGTACATAGCAGGCCCGAGACTTCGTCTTTAGACGGACTTGCTTGTGAGGTTGGCACCGAGCTGCTGTCTGGGAACTTGAAATTGGCAGTTTGCCAATGAGTCTCTGCTGAGTGGCTCTTTGTGCCTGAACTGTAGGTGCAGGTGGTGTGGTTTATGCTGAACCCCTGTACTAGGCAGGTATGACCTGACCCCCTGGGCTCTGAGTCTTTTCTTTTTTTTTCAGTTTGAGCTCTTATTTAAAAATTTGAACTATTTTTTAAAATTAACTAATTAATTTTAATTAGAGGATAATTTCTTTACAGTACTGTGGTGGTTTTTGCCCTCAGTCAGTTCAGTCACTCGTTCATGTCCGATTCTTTGCAACCCCATGGACTGCAGCATGCCAGGCTTCCCTGTCCATCACCAACTTCCAGAGCTTGCTCAAACTCATGTCCATTGAGATGGTGATGCCATCCAACCATCTCATCCTCTGTTGTCCCCTTCTCTTCCTGCTTCACTCTTTCCCAGCATCAGGGTCTTTTCCAATGAGTCGTTCTTCGCATCAGGTGGACAAAGTATTGGAGCTTCAGCATCAGTCCTTCCAATGAATATTCAGGACTGATCTCCTTCAGGATGGACTGGTTGGATCTCCTTGTAGTCCGAGGGACTCTCAAAGGGTCTTCTCCAACACCACAGTTCAAAAGCATCAATTCTTCTTCACTTAGCTTTCTTTATAATCTAACTCTCACATCCGTACATGACTACTGGAAAAACCATAGCTTTGACTAGATGGACCTTTGTTGGTGAAGTAATGTGTCTGCTTTTTAATATGCTGTCTAGGTTGATCATAACTTTTCTTCAAAGGAGCAAGTGTCTTTCAATTTCATGGCTGCAGGCACCATCTGCAGTGATTTTGGAGCCCCCCAAAATAAAGTCTGTCACTGTTTCCACTGTTTCCCCATCTATTTCCCATGAAATGATGGGACCAGATGCCATGATCTTAGTTTTCTGAATGTTGAGTTTTAAGCCAACTTTTTCACTCTCCTCTTTCACTTTCATCAAGAAGCTCTTTAGTTCTTTTTCGCTTTCTGCCATAAGGGTGGTGTCACCTGCATATGTGAGGTTATGGATATTTCTCCCGGCAGTCTTGATTCCAGCTTGTGATTCATCCAGCCCAGCGTGTCTCATGATGTACTCTGCATATAAGTTAAATACGCAGGGTGACAATATACAGCTTTGACGTACTCCTTTCCCAATTTAGAACCAGTCTGTTGTTCTAACTGTTGCTTCCTGACCTGCATACAGGTTTCTCAAGAGGCAGGTCAGGTGGTCTGGTATTCCCATCTCCTGAAGAATTTTCCACAGTTTATTGTGATCCACACAGTCAAAAGCTTTGGCATAGTCAGTAAAGCAGAAATAGATGTTTTTTGCAAGTCTTGCTTTTTCCATGATCCAGCGGATATTGGCAATTTGATCTCTGGTTCCTCCGCCTTGTCTTGTGCTTGCACTCTTGTATTCAGTGCCACTGACCCTGCATCAGGCCACCACTGACCCACACCTCTGCTGGAGACTCCTGGATGCTCACAGGCAAGTCTGGGTCCATCTCTTGTTGGGGCAGTACTCCTTTCTCCTGGGTCCTGGTGCTCACAAGGTTTTCTTTGTACCCTCCAAGAGTGTTTCCCCTGTCTGGTGTAAATTGTGTAATCAAATCCCACTGGCCTCCAAAGTCAAATTCCCTGCAGGTTCTTAGTCCCTTTGCCAGACCCCAGGTTGGGAAATCGGTTGTGGGTCCTAGCACTTTCTTAACAGTGCGAGAATTTCTTTGGTATAGTTATTCCAAAGTGGACATCTTTACAATATTGTGGTGGTTTTGCCTACCTCGACTTGAATCACCCACATGGGCACCGCGTCTTTAAGGTGGTGTGAATTGTCCAATGTGTTCTGTTCGTCTCCGTGGAGAGGATCTCTGGGATCTTAAACCTGGTTCCTCTGGGCTGTGCCCTGTGTGCCCTTTCCCTGTGTTTCCTTTCGCACTAATAAACCACAGCCATGAGCACAGCTGTCCCCACGTTCCGTAAGTCCCAGCCAGACCCCAGCCCTGGGTGTGGTCCTGGGGATCCCAACTCAAGTAGTAACTGGACTGCACAGCCACAGGATTTAAACTTGATATTGGCCAGGTGCTGGCACCACTGTAGGTTGTGACCCGATGAGAAGAATGCCTGTGTCTTCAGAGTTGGAGTGTTTTAATTCTAGAACCAAAGTCCTTCTCCTTTTTTGGGGGTAGACACCAGAGACAGTGCTATTGGAATGGCACCCATGTTGAGGGTGGATTCAAAGATGTGGACAAGGAGACCAGTTTAGGTGACTTTGGCAGTAATGTAGCTTTGAGATGGGAGAAGAGTTTACTTAGATAAGGGTATTTAGAATAAAGACCTTAAAGTGGACCCAAAAGACACCATGAAGAGAGAAATGATAGGGCTGCCAAGTGTGCTGATCCAGGCTGGGGAGAGAAGGGGAAGAGGTGCAACTTCATCACGGTTTTGAATCGTTTGCACTGAATCGCTAGTATTCTGCCCTTTTCAGAACTAGAACTCCTTCAGGGCATGTTTGTTTTTATTCCAAGCTGTAAGTGTATTTATCCTTTTCCTTCAGTAAATCTGAATGGGCATTTTAACCTTTAAAATTAATGAATACTCACTCTCATTTGTGTTTCCCAAATTTCATTAGTTTTTCCTTCTTTCTAGGAATTGCTCGTTCCATGCTCTTTTGCCCTCCCGTTTGCCATCTCTCTGGGAAGTAAGTTTGTAATACTCAGCTTTCCTGGAGGCACTATGGTGAAACAGAGCAAAGTCTTTGGTGTTAGACAAGCCTGGATTCCGTGTCAGTTTTATTAACTGTGTTCTCACCAAATTACGG